ACCTGGAGACTATGCTGGAGAAGGCTTGTTCAGCTATGTCTACGATCCAGCATTGGATAGTCACAATTAATTAACACTCCCTATGAAAGAGGTCTCCAGTATGCACTTTCTTTTTTGGGGGGGTATTGTGTATTTCTCTTATTTCAGTCTCTTACCCCACCCTATTTCTTTCACATTAAATCTAGGCATTTTTGTCCATATGAAACAAAAGAGAGGAAAACATTCTTATCTTGGAGGCAGAGTTCAGGAGAAAGCTACTGGTCTTTTGGACTCTGCCAGGACTACTCAGTAGCTTTGCTTGTCATTTAGAATTTATCAGCTCAACACAGATCTACCATAATGTGCTATATAACTAGTGCATAAACAAACTTCAGCATGATAAATGCCTTGCTTTGAAGCCATAAAGTTATTAGTTGGTGGGTGTTAGCTACCGCTGAGTACAGGGCACAGTTCTTCCATTAACCCCTGACTGCCCACCTCTGTGCTCATAAATCCATCAAACCTGGGGGCAGGTTTCAGAGGCAAGGGGAGGCTGACAGATATTCCACTGCACTGATGAGGAGCACTAAGATCAATGGCACCTATGAATGCTTATCAGTGTCCTTTGTACCAAGTAGAAAACAGTGATACCAGCCAAAGTCAGAGAGACGTTTTAGGACTCAATTACTACAGGTATTCTTAAGTGGAAAGCAAACAGCAAAACATGTAGTATTATAGAGTGTTAAAGAACCTGGCTCATATTACCTAGTTGTAAACAACAATGCTGTTGTTATTAATCAGAATTATCATCATTCCCATAGAGCAAATGTGGGGTGGGAGCAGGAGAGGAGCAGGTGTGAGAGGTGATTTGTGCAAAAACTATTGTCACCTCATGGCAAAAATGAGATCTGAACTACAGTACTGATTTCTTGATTCATAATCTGAATCATCATTCAGACACTACAATACTGTACATCAGATCTTACTTGTCGCATCCCGGTGATCCAAACAAAGAATGTCTGTGCTGTCCAACATCATCAGTACACTGACTTTTAAAACGAATTTATTTAAAACTCTTGTTTATATTTGGGCTAAACTTGCTGTAATGTAACTAGTTTTGCTCACATTAAGATCCCTGGTTTAACCCGTAAGATTTCCACATAGGACTAGGAAATAATTCTGCCTGAATCTTTGGAAAGCCATAGTGAGTTCTCTCTCTCTCTCTTTCATGATTTGTAAGGCATTCTTCATCCCAAGGTTCTTCTTGAATATACCTCCATGCCCACACCATTGACAGCAATAATGCGAAATGGGGCTTCATATTCTGGCTTTTTAAAAAGCCAGTAACCTTAGTTCCTCAAATCAAATATAGTGGAAAATTAGGGTTAACTGAGACTTCCTGCTTTTTTGACACTTGCAGAAAAGGAGGCACAAAACGCATATGCATGGTTTGAGTGCATCTCAGCTGCCATATTCCTCAGATTGTTACACTGAGGTACTGATTATGTGATTGTGGCCTGTGTGATGTCTCTGGATAGATATACTTTCTTTGAGGCGCATTCAAGTAGAAAAGCTTTCACTGAAGCGGAAGTACACTGTATGTTTTAGCAGAGTTCTCATAATATTAAATTGACACTATAAATGTTGGAATAATATGCTGGATACAAAATAGGTGAAATCATGTTTTGTTAGACAGACGTCTGCAGCCAAAAGAGTTGGCAAGCTATTCTGTGTCAAAGAACATAAAAGCCTGCATACTTTTTCACCAAAGCAACTTGGTGATATAAAAGACAATATTACTTAGCTCCTGCTTCCTGAAGCAAGGACAGCAGCAATTCACCATAACAAACATAAAATGCACAGAGGTACACATAGGCAGAACAAAAGCAATCCCACACACTGTATGCCATAATAAAAATCAGAGACAACAGAAGCAGGATATTAACCACCCGCCAACTTTTCAGATCCATCAGGAGCTCCTGAGTCTATTTTTCTCCTTTTTGCTGCTGAAGCAATAAAAAGAGAAAAACCAACATCCAAATGATCTTGTTTATGGTGGCTAAATAAGCTGCATGTGCTTAATCCGTTAGAGTTTAATGAATTTATGACTTGCTTTGGAATTTGACAAGGGCCATAAAAGAGTAATTAACATTTATCAGTGTGTTTGCTACGCCTGCACACTCCCTCCCCCCCTTGGCCCCTCTCACGGCAGTGTCGGGCACCATGGGGGGATATAAAAGTGATCAATTAATTTTTAATAATCTCAGGGAAAGATTGTAGAGTTGCAGTATGAACTCTGGGAGTGTCAATAAATGTGCCAAAGGTCAGCTGCTTTTCTTCTCCACATGCTTTCCAGTAAGTATGGGGAGGGCACACAAAATACACTGCCACAGGAACCTTGTGGTGGAATCAATCCAAGCAGCCACTGTCCCAGGCAGCTTACCTGTTAGTCTGCACTTTTACTATTTCAGGATGAACCCTATGCTGGCGTGGGTGTGGGGGAGTTTTAACCAGGTTTCCACCCTGTATAATAATGCAAAGGTTAATCTGGCCTTTTGATTCCATTCACTAAGTTTCTTTCTTTCTTTCTTTCTTTCTTTCTTTCTTTCTTTCTTTCTTTCTTTCTTTCTTTCTTTCTTTCCTTCTTTCTTTCTTTCTTTCTTTCTTTCCTTTTTATTTACAGTTGGCAACTGAAAATATGTGAGCCATCTGAGTTGTTCACCATACATAAATCAAAGGACAAACTGGAAGATTGCTAGTATAATCATCAAGTCAAATTGTTGGTCGTCAATACAGAAAACCAATGGCAAACTGTAAAAAAAATGTGATTGACTGTGTCGCTCCAGTGATGGGAGGTATTCTGATTCCTTTGTCTTCTATGGTCCAGAGTCATACAGTTCCATGACATATAGTGGACAGGTAAAAAGGAAAATCCACTCATGCATATCTTTTAAATTAACCTATGGTTGGATGCTACCCAGAATCTTGTATATAGTCATGTTCCCAAGCTGTATAAATATATGATTGCCTTTCTTATACAGTATGTGTGGATAAGGTCAAGGAATTTCCTATGCCCACATACAGAATTCTATGTTTTAAAAACTTTCAGCATGATAGGATTTAAAGAACATAATTTAATCTACTTAACTTCATTGGGAGGGCAATGTGTAGTCCTGAAACATACCTGCCTCTGCAGCCCCCCCATATCCCCCACTTGTTAATATTTTAAATAAACTGTTTCATTTCAAAAAAGTTCCCTTGCGCCTGCTTTCCCGAAGGTGGTGTGGGAGCCAATTTTGCCACATTTTATCCCCACCATCAACTCGCAAATGTTTGGATCTTTAAAAAAAAAATTGGCCCTAGGTGCCTTTCCAGTTTTAAAAAAAGCTGTTTATGAAGAAAAAGATTTGGGGGCCTGTGCAGGACCCTTCCTGAGGTCCAGGGGCTGGCCTGTGCAGTCCTTGGATCTCTGAAGGTTATGAACACTTTCCTTTTGTGGTCACATTCAGAACAAGGAATGGGGGAAGACTATACAGGGAAAAGAAAGAAACGCAATGTTACTCCAAAGAAGAGACTGGGGAAGAAGAAAAGGAAAAAAGATTTTGGTACCTGTTATAGGAGCATACTGACGAGCCTTCATCTGTGTTTACCAAACAATTAAAAAAAACCTAACCCTGAAATTCTAAGAATTAAAAGATGTTAAAATGAAAGCTGAAGTCATCAGCAAACACATGTTGCATGGCAGAATTCTAATTTTGTACTGTTTTATAACACAGGGCATGAATAATACACAAAGCCATGAGTTAAGATTGCTGCAAAGCAGCTTCACAAAATCAGCAGCCTGCATTGATGGTCTTTGTCAGATACAAAATTAGTCACTTGCCTGACCCACAGTGGTAATGCTTATGTTTCGTTTTCAGCACCATTCTGGTTGTGTGACCTACCTGGTTCCCTAAACACAGTATGTATAATCATGTGGAAAAGCAAGTACACTCTTTTTGAATTCAGGACATAATGAAAATCATCTGGTCTGAAAATTAGGTAAATATACCCTCAGATGAACAATACATGGCAGATTGCAACATATCATGATTTATTTTATGAAAATAAAGCCAAAATGGAGAAGCCATTTTGTACAAAAGCCTAAGTATACCCTTACTGCTTCCACAGGAATTAAGAGGTGCTGCTAACCAAACACCCTTGAGTAATTTATGACCAGCAAGTGGGACCAACTCTATAAGAACTGATGTTTTTGCAGTTTGCTGGTCTGGAGCATTCAAGTGTGTGTTAACACAATGCCAAGGAGGAAACACATTAGCAATGATCGTAGAGAAGCAATTGTTGCTTCCCATCAATCTGGGAAGGGGTATGAGGCCATTTCCAAAAAACTGAAAGTCCATCTTTCTACACGAGGAAGGTTATTCACTAGTGGTAAACACTGTAAAGAGCAGTGGGCCAAAATTCCTCCACAACGATGTGAGAGACTCATAAAGTCTTACAGAAAACGATAACTTCAAGTTATTGCTGCTAAAGGTGGTTCTACAAGCTATTGAATTATAAGGTGTACTTAGTTTTTCACACAGGGCTTCTTCATTTTGGCTTTATTTTTGTAAAATTAATAATGGCACAATGTCATATGCCATGTGTTGTTTGTTGTTCATCTGAGTTTGTATTTACCTAATTTTCAGGCCTGCTAAGGACCAGATGATTTTTATTATGTCCTGATATGGAAAATCAAATAATTCAAAGAGGATGTATTTTCTTTTTCACATGATTGTATGTAGCTTCCACCCATAATTTTTAGCCCTATCCCACAGTTAAATGAAAACCTCTTTTTTATTAACATTTTCTTTAAATCATCATGCTTTTCCTCCCTGTGAAATATGACACATTTGGTAACACCAAGAATACATTTACTTCCAAACTATTATGACCTATTTAAACTGGTGTTGTTGTTGTTTTTAAATTGTTTTCCCAGACTATCCAATAACAGCAAATAAAAAAGAAGGATAGACACTTACAGAGGGGGAAAGTTAACGCCATGCGCTGGCTGGCCCCCGCAGATGCTGGCGGCCCTCCTTGGCTGTCGCTTCTATCTGGCAATCAATTGACAAGAAATTGAGATTATGAAATATGACAATGAGCATCACAAAGGATGGTGATCAATCAATTGACTCGTACAACTAAGCAAGTGACATTTAACAGCAGAGAATTTCCAAATTCAGCAAGTGCCATGGGATTAGAAATCCAAAGCTGCTGCTTCAAGTACTTGGATCTTATAAACCCAGCACAAAACAAACAACTGTAAATAACCGCTTCTCATAGACCCCCCCAACATGTAACATTTCCCCCAAAACAGTACATCTGTCAAAAAGAATCTGCTATTCTTATATAAATTGTGGTGTGGAAGCCTTTTATGGAAACGTAGATGCAGCTGAATAATATCTTTGCATGGGCATCATATCTTCAGGTGCAGTTAAGCATGAGACACAACATCTACTCTCTTCCAAAACAGACTCAAGGGGACATAAGTATGCTGTGCCTTAAGGGGATTTATACCGTTTAGATAAGACTTTAGAATACTGGTTCACATTTTGTTTAGAAACGAAATGGTTTTTCTCATGAATAGCCTTACTAATACCTGTAAATACTATACACATGTCAGTAGACATATAGGCCTCCCTATGTGGAATGCGCCTGGTTGAGAATATTAGCTTTCATTACTTCAGATAAATACTTGGAAACATAGGAGCAAAGTTGTCACTGTCAGCAGGCTCTGCACCGAAAAGTGAAGCATCAAGATTACAACTAAGGCTTTCACAAATTAATTTTCATGCTTTCAACATGGTACTCAGTTTCCAAGTATTTTTTACCATTCCCCTCATCTTTCCATTCCCCACATTCAGTTCCAGAATAGTGTTGCTTCTCTTAGGAATATAAGCAGTCAGAAAAAAAAGCAAGGAGTGGTACCTTCCACTTTAACTGTAAATGTAGGAATTGTCTAATTGGCCACTAAGCTCTAGCAAAGTTTATTCTCCTCAGTTAACTGAGCTCTTGAAACACAAGCTGGTTTGGTGTACCAGTCATCATTCATTGCCAAGTAGAGAAAATGAATACAGTATATAAAAATGTATCTTGTTCTATCTTTCCTACTGGCAAACACAAAATACCATTTATTGTTAACAATATTTTTGAAAATTTATCTGCACCATTAATTTACAGAAAATCTACAATCTGGAAAGTCTATGTTAATAAGATATTGGGGTGGGGGCAGGAAGAGAACAACACACCCATTATATTCTCAAAGGCTTTCACAGCCATGATATGAAGGTTGTTGTGGGTTTTTTGGGTTCTTTGGCCGTGTTCTGAAGGTTGTTCTTCCTGACGTTTCGCCAGTCTCTGTGGCCAGCATCTTCAGAGGACTGG